CGAACGACATAAACGAGAACTCGAACATGCCGAACGGCGTAGTGATCGCGGTCTTCGGAATATCACTTTCCGCCACCGGTATCTGGTGGTACGCGCGCACTAAGTCGATCGTCGAGAACACCCGTTTGTCTCTTAATTCCATCGCGAAATCCTGAATGTGCCGGACCGGGTACCGATCTGGGATCGTCCGTGCATTTAACGAGCGATAGTCACCGCATGGTCGCCACTCTTCCCCTCTCTTCGGCACCATATATAGCGGAGACGCCCAACTACTCTTCGACGGTCTCACGATTCCGAGCTCCATCATTTTTTCAAACTCCTTTCGCGCCGCGGTCAATTTATCCGGCGCAAGTCTCCGCGGTCTGCACACTACCGGCGGCCCCGGGGTTGTCTCGATAAAATGTTTCGTGTTATGTCGCACCTCTTTCGGGCGCCCGTCAGGTCGTACGATGTCCGGATAACACGCTAAGAGTTTGTGATACGGCGTCACTCCCGTCACCGTTCGTATGGTCGACAATCCGCACTGTGCGCTACGTCCCCCGGCTACGAGTCCCGTCACCTGATCGACTAGCCGACGATTCCGCAAGTCCACCAGGAGTCCGTAATCGGACAGAAAGTCCGCGCCGATAATCGGCCTCGACACATCTGCGAGTACGAATCGCCACGTAAAGTTCCGTCGTAATCCGAGATTCAACGTTAACGTCTCGGTTCCGTAGGTATGGATCACCGTTCCATTCGCTGGGGATAACTCGTACGTCGATTTCTGCCGCGGCCCACGCACCATCCTGCGAGGAAAAACGCATAGGTCTGCGCCTGTATCCACGAGGAAGTTAATTCGCGTGTCGCGGTCAGTCACGAACAGACGGCGCGAATCCTGGCCTTGATCACCGGCCGTCATCACTAACGGGCCATCGCGTTTCCCTGCGGCTGTCCGGCACACGGGGGCTCACATCTTCGTGCGTCCGGTCCGAATCTCCAATAATAGTAACACAGACCGTTTGACGCGTGACCACGGACGCGAGAGCGCGATCGCGAACGCTCCCGCCCGCGACGACCACCGCCGTCAAGTTTTTATACAATTACTTCTCTGTCTCGCTTCGGTGAGGTTCTCGCTCTCCTAACGCCTCGATGCATTTTCGCAAGCCGGTCATTTGTTCCGCGAACTCTTGCTGCATGCCACACGCATCTGTGTCATCTGCACATTGATTTTCGCCTCCAATGCAGCCATTCCGTTTCCGTCGGCACCCGCGAACGTCGTCGGCTGAGCCGCTTCCGCGACGTGCACCGCGGGCGCTCTCGTTGCCTCCACGATTGCGTCCGCCATATCCGCAAGCGTCTCCAGCGTATCTCCCACGCGCGTTACGAGATGCAGCTGCAAATAAACAGGTAGTCGACTCAACCAAATGGTTCGCAGGACTTCATCCCCGACGACATTACCGGCGAGACCTCGAAGGTGCCGCAAAAATTGTGTCGGTTTGCGGTCGCCTATCTCCTCATGCTCCAGGAGCCGTCGCGTCTTGTGCTCCTGCGATAAACTTAGTCTTTATGAGCTCGCATCTTAAAGTTTCGTACGCGCGTTCCGCTGACGGGTTCATAATTATGTCGCCTCCATCGCGTGTCGCGGACCGATCGCCGTAAGAACGTAACCGAACTTGGTCGCGTCCGTAGTAATTCCAGCGGCCTGGAAGCTCCGATCTATGATATTAAACCACAGTTCCGGATCCCCGGAAGTAAATTCCGGCATCCTCATGCCTACGCGATTTACCTCGGCGCCCGCCATGAACAGGCAAGGTCGTTCAACCGCTTGTTGCGTCCCTGGCACAGGCAGTGCATCTCGTCTCGGCTGCTCGATTTGTATTAACGGAGGGGCAGCCCCATCGTCACGCGTCAACACCATACTGTCACTTTTTCAAAAATGCACTCTCCAAGATCCGTATCACGATTCGCGGCAATATCCACAGCACTTTGCGTCACTTTGATCACGTCGGGGTCACCACTTTGGGTGAGCGTAGCTTAGCTCGATAATTATTGTTCTGCCAATATCGCGAATCGGGAGAGGATAGTTAAGACGGAATAGTTATTAGGTGTTATAAGTATATTGTCTTTCACTGCATTTATTCGAGTTATACCAAATACAGACTTTTACTCTCCACCGAGGAAAACCGTGTATCGCGAGCGCGAGTCAAAATCTATCTGCCCTTCGAGGCCGCGCATTGTCTTGCTTCTCTCGATTTTTCCACGATCTTATTTTTATTTTTAGGTGATTAGCCTTTTGAAGAACTTTTGCTTTTTATTCTGTTCGGAAATCGAAATCTATCTTCGTCATGTTAGACGCTTATTTATTTATTTATTATTTTGTGTCACCGGTCGCGATATCCTTAACACTCGTCGCTTGTCATATATTTTTATTTCGTGTAAATTCTATTTTATATATATTTTAATATGCTTGTGGCATTTATCGCCACAATATAATAAGATTTTTAATCTCACCAACAAATTATTTAATCGTTTACCGGTGCACGCGTGGAATAGAATCTTTGAACATCACAATATTGCTTTTAAAAATTGTTATAACAGATTGTTCATTGCACACGAAAAAAAATTTAATTGGCTAAAGAAAAAACAACATTACAAGTATATCAACAGCATCAAACCGATAGATATACATTGTTTTTTACACTATGAAACCTCACAACCGACAAAAATATCAAAAAATTCTCCTAGGGCAATCACTAATGATGCTAATGAGATAAATATACACATAGAAGCTAATAAATTTCATAATGATACAATTCAACCTTTGGAAAATACGAATAAAAAATGGTTTATCAATCTGTCCAATATAGATATTCTTCCTAACGTCTCTAATCTTTTACAAATGGGTGATAATTTGCCTCCCAAACATTAATAAAAAAATAGTAATACATGAATTTATCAAAGACATAGAGAGTAATCATAAACGGAATAATATTAATAATCTCACAACCATTAGAAATATCGCGGTTCCGAAATTTGCACAACTTCTCAACACTAATAATAAAAATGACTTAATTCAACAAAAACTACTTTGTTTACATAAAGATTTAATAAAATTTTGCCAAGATAATCCGAATATTCTATACACACGCGCGGACAAGGGTAACGCTACGGTTGCAATGAAGAGATCTTATTATATTAGTAAAATGGAAAACGTATTAAAAAATGTCAATACATACACTATTGTTAAAAAGAATCCGTGCAAAAAAATAGAGAATAAATTAAATGATTTGTTGAAGAAATGGCTTAAGGAAGATTATATCTCAAAAAATGAATATTATAAATTACGTTGTAGTGATTCTCTCCTTCCAAAAGCGTACGGATTACCTAAAATCCATAAGAAAAACTATCCAGTTAGAATCATAGTTTCATCGGTTGATACAGCTTTATACTTGCTGGCTTCATTTTTACAAAACATCTTACAAACTAGCCTACCTAAAGCAAAAAGTTGTATCAATAATAGTTTTGAGTTGTACAGCGTGTTGTCTGGTAAAAAAATTGATGAAAACGATAGGATGTTTTCTTTAGAAACGTGGTTTCTTTATTTACGAACGTACCTCTAGATCTTGCGATTAACGGTATTAACGATAGATGGGATCACATTGAAATAAATACTAGAATACCGAAAAGCGAATTTTTGTGTGGTATAAAATTCATATTGACCTCTACTTATTTTACATTTAATGACATAATTTATAAACAGACTTTTGGGACCTCTATGGAGTCTCCGTTATCACCAATTATAGCAGATTTGGTTATGCAAGATCTTGAGGATACAGTTCTTAAGGCGTTAAATTTAAAATGTTTGTTTTATTTCCGTTATGTGGATGACATAATACTGGCCACCTCTATGACTAATATGACTCAGATTGTTAATAATTTTAATAACTATCATGATAAACTTAAATTTACAGTGGAACAAGAGATTAATCGTAGCTTAAATTTCTTAGATTTATCACTTAAAATTATTAATAACACAATATACATCGACTGGTATCAAAAAGAAACCTTTTCAGGAAGGACTTTATCATTCTATTTAAACCACCCATTATGCCATAAAATTGGAATAATATACAACCTTGTAGACAGAGGTCTGTTGTTATCACATCCACAATATTTTAATAAAAATTTGGAGTTAATCATTAATATACTCATAAGCAATGGTTACCCTCTTGATCTGATCTTTAACAAAATTAATCGGCGGATAAAACACATCATATCTAAAGAAAGCATTATAAAGAGACAAGCCAACATAGAAAGAACAGAAATTATAAAAAAGGACTCAGTTAATAAAAAATTCTTTGTCATTTCGTATATAAATAGGATCTCAGAAATGATTGTTTCCTCGGTAAAAAATACAGAGTGTATTGTAGGATATAGATGTCTAAACAAACTTGATAATATTATTAAAGCACAGAAAGATAAAACTAAACATCCATGCAATTCGAATGTGGTTTATAAGATCAGTTGCAACAATTGTAATGCATCTAATGTAGGCCAAACGAAAAGGCAATTACAGACGAGACTAAAAGAACATAAAAATAATATCAGGTTGGACTCAACAAAATATTCAGTAATTTCTAAACACATAAGAAATGAACACCATACATTTAATTGGGATAACGTAAAGATTCTGGACAATGAAAATAATTATTATAAAAGACCCATTTTTGAGATGCTACATATTAAAGAACAAACAAATGGTCTAAATTTAAACAAAGATACTGAGTTACTCATATAGTCGTATTTTGATATCTTGGAAAAATTAGCGAATCAATAAATAATAATAAGACAAATAGGACATTAACGGTTTAAACATAGGTATTAGATCATATATAAACACGCACACTTTCCGATCAAGTAGAGTTCAAAATGAGCTGTCTTTTTATATTGTTGGTTTTGTCTTGTGTCATCTTCAACAACTTTTTTAAGTAAGACGTGGTTAAAAACTGTTAAGAAGGACGATGTCAAGTAAGCATATTACTAATTGTTGGGGATTTATATTTTAAGTTTGACATACGTTAATCGTTAATTTTTATTAATTGCAGCGCCTACGGAACATTTTAATTTCTCGCTTATTAATGACGAAACTTTTCGAGATCTAATCAAAATCAAAGATCATACCGAGGCAAACATTGGTTTGACATTTTTCCTACACATGATGGATTGAAACACGCGTTAACACTGCTCATAAACTCTCGACTCTGAAGAACTAAAATTAATTTTCGACATTATATGAATTTTTTTATGATTTTATATTTTAATAATATACTGAAGAAGACCGCGTGTGGTCGAAACGTTTATTTTAGAATGACTGTATTTTTGCGTTATTTTTATATTCAATGATTGTAACTTAATAATTTATATATAAAATAAATGTTATTTGATTGAACAGCTTGAATAATTGCTCGATAGTTTGCCTTGCATTTATCACTTGTTGTTAAAATACGTAATACTCTCGAAATTAAACGCAATAAATATTTAATAAAAATTTTATATTATTAAAATTTTAAATCATGCATTGCAAACTCATATAGAATTGTACTAGAAAAATAATGATACCCAAACAGTTGCGCTAAATAGAAATAGAAACTAGTATACTACTAGTAAAAAATTTGCAACCCTATATAGAATCATATAATTACAGATCTCCTTTTACGTTGAAATTAATGTAGAATTGTAATAATAATAAAAATAAGATAATACAAAATAAACAAAATTAAAAATTAAAAAACAAAAATAAAACAATACACATAAAAAATTAAAAAATATTAATTAACAAAAACTTGGCGGTGCTAAGTTAAACAATATGCTAAAATTGATTTTGTCACATTAAAGTACAAAATATTTCGTAATTATTTACTTTTTGGTCATTCTATCCTTATAATTTTTATGCCATATATTGTGAGGAAGTGATTTATATAAAAAAATATAATGGTTCTATTAAATCAATTCAAGATAATTTTGCTCTGATCTTAGCAACGTTATCCAAAGTCAAAGTGATAAGATTTGTAAATAGATATTTTTAAATTCTATAATTTTTATCCAAAATATTTTTTTCTAAAATTCATTGTTTATGAGATACTAACCTTTTCGGCCCGCGCTTCGCGCGGGCTTCAAAGCCTAGTTTCCCAACATTGACCCCGCTATTATTAGTTTTCACACAATCATTTTTCATTTTACAAAACCTCTTTGTATACAACATTTGTCGTAAAAGATTTCGGATTTCCTTTAATGTTGCAAATTTTTTGGGATGTGCGACGATGTGGTTTTTAAGTACTCTTTAAATTTTTTTAAGTCTGTCTGTCTGTATGTCTGTATGTCTGATCGCGAACTACTTACACATTTATGAACTAATTTTCGTGAAACAAGTACTAAAATTTTTTTATCTTTTATTATTTTTTTTTAATTTTTTGATGTGACTGATTTTTGTGAAACATGTACCAAAATGTTTTTTTTTATCTTTTATTATTAATCTTTTTTATTTTTTGCTGATGTTCCTATCGCTGATCGCTGAATATCGCGCCAATTGTTGATAAACAACCCCCTTAACGATGATCTCTCTGAGACCAATTTCGAGAAAATCGGTGAATAAATGTATAAATGTGTAGAAAAATTCGCATAAATATGCGATTGCGTGGGTAGGTGCGTGGGTTTAAAAATTTTGAAAATTTTAATACCAATTTCGAAAACATCGATCAATAAATTTGTGAATACGTGAGTGGGTGCGTCGCTGGAAACTTAAGAAAAAACCACATCGTTACACTCCCTGAACAATTTGCAAAATTTTGGTACCAATTTCGAAAAAAATCGATCCATAAATATGCAATTGCGTGAGTAAGTAAAAAATTTTGAAAATTTTACTATCAGTTTCGAAAACATCGGTAAATTTTGTAAATGCGTGGGTGGGTGTAAAACTTTAAAAAAACCTCATAACATCCATCCCCGAAAAATTTGCAACATTTTGGTACCTGTTTCATGAAAATCGGTCCATAAATGTAAAAGTAGTTCGCGGTCAGACAGACATACAGACAGACGGTACTTACATATATAGATAATTTGATTTTTTCTAGAATTTTGGGATATTTATTAAATACACTCTATTTGGCACTGTTTAGTCTGATTTTGTTTAATAATTATTGAATATAATTCATATTCCTTCATGAATATAATTCATATTCTTTTATTAAGTATTATAGAAAGAAATTATTGAAAATTTTTCGATTTATTTTATTATTGGGGTTTATAACATCTTGTATATCATCTTTATATAAATATACCATTATTTAATTATATCATATTTATCTCTTCTATCCTCTCTGTTATACACTCCTCTTCTATACACTCTGTTATATCATTTGACATATGTATAATCACTCTTCTTAACATATGTATTCTGTTACATGTCAAGCTATTAAATTGAAGGTTTCCTCTCTTTGCTTTGAAATAGCGTTGCCGGACAACGAACAGTCATGATGCACGGATATGTAGAATCGAAGCACGCCGACAGAATATGTATATGCTTCGATATTCGTACAATTTATGTATTAAGGCATAGTTTGACGCTTTAATGATGTGATGTTATTGCTTTTAACTTAAAAATACATCGTAAAATATAAACAATTATTTACAATTTATTATCTCATTATGGTTTAGATAATTTTATATTTTTTTTAGATTATTTTGAATAAGTAACATATATGTGTGTAAACATATTTTAATTATATATATTTATTATACATATATATACTTATATATTTATATATATGTATATAATTATATATATATAATATATAATTACATAATTATATATATATATATATATATATATATATATACAGGGTAATTCGCACCCCACCCATCAGGTGCAGGTAGAGCAGGTCAAATTGAGTAGAAAAATCAATTGATACAAATCGTATATTGTATACAAAAGTGATAAATACTTATATTATTAAGTTGTTCAGGTATAAACTATTAAACATATTATGTGAAAGCTACAAACATTCAATACTAAACTTAAGCAAAATTACAATCATTATAAAATAATAAACGTTTGTCTTCCTCAGGGATGTTAGTTCTTCAAGAGTCGAGAATTTATAAGCACGCGTGTTTCAATCCGTCATGTGTTTGCCTCGATATGATCTTTGATTTTAATCAAATCTCGAAAAGTTTCATCGTTAATATGCGAGAAATTAAAACGTTCCGTAGCGTTGACATCGTCCTTCTTGACAATTTTAACCACGTTTTTTTGAAAAAGTTATTGAAGATGACACAAGACAAGACCAACAATATAAAAAGACACCTCTTGTGTCTTCAATCAAAGATCATATCGAGGCAAACATTTGTTGGACATGACGGATTGAAACACGCGTTAACTGCTTATAAATTCTCGACTCTTGAAGAACTAACATTAATTTTCGATATTATGTGAATTTTTGTATGATTTTGTATTTTTTAATAATTATACTGAGGAAGACCGCGTGCGGTTGAAACGTTTATTATTTTATAATGATTGTAATTTTTGCTTAAGTTTTAGTATTGAATGTTTGTAGCTTTCACATAATGTTTTATGTTTAATAGTTTATACATGGAATAAATTTTATTTGACTGAACAACTCTAATAATTGCTCGATAAGTTGGCCTTTTTATTTATCACTTTTGTATTTACAATATACGAGCAAAACTTTGTATCAATTGATTTTTCTACTCAATTTGACCTGCTCTACCTGCACCTGATGGGTGGGGTGCGAATTACCCTGTATGTATATATATATATATATATATATACAGGGTGTCCGGTAATTCGCGCCCCATCCGTCAGGTGCAGGTAGAGCAGGTCAAACTGAGTAGAAAAGTATATATATATATATATATATATATATATATATATATATTGTAGAGGATGGAATAGTAGAGGACTTTTCTATTCAGTTTGACCTGCTTTACCTGCACCTGATGGGTGGGGCGCGAATAATATATATATATATATATATATATATTATTCGCGCCCCACCCATATATATATATATATATATATATATAGCTCTATCTGCGCTTGACGAGTAGGACGCGAATTACCAGCCACCCTGTATATATATATGATTATATATCTTTATATAAGTAATGGACAATTTTTGTCCGAGTTATATTACAACAATGTAAATAATTGTGTTATATAAATGTAAATGCTGCATTAGCATTATTTCTGTAACAGTAAATTTTTTCTCAGCGATCAATAAAGCATTCTGATTAAAGGTAATGATAAAATCATAGACAGTCTGTAGTGAGTCAGTGTGAATTCTAATACGTGCATAGTTGTATGAATATTCAATGTGATAAACTGATTTGTTTTTGTAATATATTAAAATAAATAATATTGATGAACATTAATCGTCGACTGAAATCTTCGACTTTCTCAAGATTGTCAAAGAAATAATTTTCAGAGAATTCTAATGGATTCAAAAAGTGTCAACTTCCGACTTTTACAGGCCAATTTCTCGAAAAAACTTCGTGTTTTCTGGGAATTAATTTGTCGAGTTATGTGGGCAGGTTATACAGTTTTACACTTATAGTATTATTTTCTATGTTAAGTGAAATGTCTTGGCACAATATTTGCACTGAATATTGCGAAGAACTTCTTATCAGAAAGTTCATGGTAATGTTGGAATACATTCTATACATCGTATTGGTATTGACAATGTTGGGTACATCTCTATTTCGTCCAAAGCACTTCGCTTTTCCTCGTCAAGAAATGTTCATCATAGACTCTATGTTTGAGTAAGGATTTTTCTTTATTAAATAATTAGTAATTTGTGTAAAGTTAATTCTGTATTTTGTCAATTTTGTTTTTCTATTAATTGTTTTATACTAATACTATGTTTATACTAATTTATATTGTATCGTAAACAACAGCTTATTCAAGATTTTGTTTTGGGATGGGGAGGAAAGCTGGAACTCTGGCAATTTTGAGCAATTACATTAAATTAAAATCATACATTAGCAATGGTATTGCAATCATACATTAAGCAATGGTCTGTAGTTTTAGTTGCTTAATAAAATTATGCTAGAAGTGCGAAAATTCTGACAATTAGTCGATTGGATTTTAGATTTCAGGGAAAAGTGAAGTTTAACAATCTTCATTTCTTTCTCGTCCCATAAAAATACTGATACTGAGAAAAATATGTAGCCATTAGTTTCAACTTATACACTCTTTCTACATTACACTTTTTTTTAAACACAACTATATATTTTCTTTACATCAATTGATTCCTCTCATTATTTTATATAAAAATACTGAAATAAGATCATCAAAAATTAATATTTTAATAAGGTATTACATAGTTTTTGTAAAATTATATTAAATTAATGTATAAAATATAAATTATTCATTTTTTAGTAATCTTACTCTTATAACTTTTATACCAAATATTACGGAAAATCGATTTTCATATACACAAAGTGAAGAAAAAGTATCGAATCGGTAAAATATCTCGGAAAGAGTAGGATATATAAAAAAATGTTAAATACAAAAGTAGTAGAATTTAAAATAGAGTAATTGATGGTGACGTTGACTTACAGATCAAGTTTAGGGGTCATTTCAAGAACAACTTTATGTTTTTGAATGGAATCATTATCATTTTTTATATAAATCCTTATAATATTTAGCACAAAAAATTATAAGGGTTGGATGACCACAAAGTGAATAGTTGAGATATTTTGTACTTTAATGTAATATAATTTTACATAAACTATAAATTATTTCGTATAATATTTATTTTTCGATTATCTTGCTTCAATACTTTTATGCACAAAATAGTAGAGGAATCATTTGGTACAAAAAACAAATTGTTATTTTTAATAAAAATATATAGCTGCTAATTGCAAATTACAAAAGTACTTAATAAAAATACTTTATTATTGAAAAGTTCCCAGTAAGGCAAAAACGCTCTTGATAAGTTCAACTACATAAATATAGAAAATATTATAGAAAATGGAGATTTCAATTAAAAAATGTTAAAGTAATTTTTATGTGATTTTGATAACACTATTGAAGATTATACTATTTAATGCGTTGCTCAAAACACTATAATAACTTTAAAGTATAAGACAGGCAATAAGAGCCGATCGCTTGTGCACAGATATTTAATTCTAACGAAAAAATTTAGTTTCGTTGGGATAACGCACTGTCTTCCGCGATCGGCTCTTTTTTATTGCCTGTCTTATACTTTAAATTTATATTTATATGACAGAGCCTTGTTAAACTCTTAAACTATAATAACTTTTACATAAAACATTTTTTTTTAAATACGTTGTTGGTTTTGTAAAATTAAGAATTTTCCACATTTTTGGTACTCTGTATATATTTATAACTTATATTTTATGTATGTATATACATACATATATATATATATATATATATATATATTATGTATATAAAATGTAAATACGAGTCATAGTGTCCCATTATGTTATATTTTCATAAAATATGTTGTATTCATTATTTTATATTTCAGGTCGTATGGCGCACAAATCTCGAAAAAAGATATCTTCTTCGCAGAGTATCTACAGGATGCTGTTATAATGATAGTGGCATTTTTTGCCATAATGAAATATGCTTACGATATAATCGTGAATAATTCATATGAATTGATATATTATTCTCTGCAATCTTGGTATTCTATGGTCTGCCTGTTATTTATAGATGGATTATTTACTCATTATGTCAACAATATATATTTAAGATTCCGCGAATTGAACAAGATTGCGATACATTCAAAAGAAAATCTATCGATTTCTTATATCGATTTTACAACAAATTTAAACATATTTAATAAATGCAGTTGCGCTATAATCACCAAGATCTGTTTGATTCAACATATTCATCATGGATTATATGTTTTAGCGATAAAGGTATTTATATCATTATCTGTATAATATCTGCAATTTATTGATTATATTGCAATCTTAATAAAGATATAATTAATATAAATCTAAATCGTAAGAAGATGTGAAGAGCTAAACGCGGATGTTGCTATGGAAACAAATCGTTCACAAGGCACATATTACTCTTGGTGTACTAACCAAGACTTTGAAAATTGAAATAATCTCTTACTTGAGATTTTATTTCAAAAACCCCTTGACCCTCCTATCGAAATAAATAATTAAATGCGAGAGAAAAATATAGATCCGAAAGTCGCTGAATCGGGAATCGAACCCGAGACCTTTCGCTTGCCGGGCGACTGCTTTTCCAACTGAGCTATTCAGACCCTTCGATTCTATACCTTTCTCTGTTTACATATACTCTATATAACGCCTATTTGCCGGCGTGTGTATAAACAACTAAGTTTCAATAATAGGCTCTGTAATATAAATATAAATCTAAATCATAATATTAGATTTATATTTATATTACAGAGCCTGTTATTGAAACTTAGTTGTTTATACACACGCCGGCAAATAGGTGTTATATAGAGTATATGTAAGCAGAGAAAGGTATAGAATCGAAGGGTCTGAATAGCTCAGTTGGAAGAGTAGTCGCCCGGCAAGCGAAAGGGTCGGGTTCGATTCCCGATTCAGCGACTTTCGGATCTATATTTTTCTCTCGCATTTAATTATTTATTTTGATAGGGGTGTCAAGGGGTTTTTGAAATGAAATCTCAAGTAAGAGATTATTTCAATTTTCAAAGTCTTGGTTAGTACATCAAGAGTAATATGTGCCTTGTGCATGATTTGTTTCCATAGCAACATCCGCGTTTAGCTCTTCACGCCTTCTTACGATTTAGATTTATATTTATATTACAAAGCCTGTTATTGAAACTTAGTTGTTTATATAATTAATAATCATACGAAGTCCGCATAGTAATGAGAATGATATTATGCTTCCTAAGACTTCCTTATAGGCTTTCTTAGGGCTTTGCCCTTAATCCCATTCTCATTATTTTCTGGACAGATCATGTATTGTATAATAATGAGTATAAGAAACAATATATTATTCATTGAAGTTATTTTTCGTAATTTCAATAAGCAAAATTATGTTTTATTATCAGGTCAACAATAATTTTGGTCTGCAGCTTCTGACCATTTCTGCCATATGTCTAAATGCTATAATTCTTCTTCTGCATGATATATATCATAACATCAAGACAAATAATACTAATATTGAAATTTTAATTTTTCATACAATCTTCATATTCTGTTACATTTTTCGATTTTCATACATCAGCTACATTTGTCAGCGATCTAGAAATGAGGTTAAGTATTAATTAAATGTAAAAATATATGTAACATAAGTTTATATACACTAAATATATATATATATATATATATATATATATATATATATATATATTGTGTATTTACAGTTTAAACAGATGGGAATAATTTTGCATAATGTTTTTCTGCAACATAAGTCATTACGGGCTAAAGTAAGATTACTTAAATATATACAAATTTAACAATATCAAATTGTTGAATTTTCTTTTTATAATTCTATCTTTCATTCAGGTGATACATTTTTCACTTCAATTGATCAACGAGGATTTAACATTTACCGCCTTTGGACTGTATGAAATCAATATTTCCCTTATATGTTCTGTAAGTAAAATTATGGTAAATATATCGATTAGCCTCTCAATAATCTTGACCTTGACATATGCTGTTAAAGTCATAAGTAGCATTTGAAATATTTTATCTGTTATTTATTAAAAAATTCTTGATAAATGAAAATTTGTATAACGTTTAAATAAACGTTTAAATAACGGTTAAAAAACTATTACTAATAAAAAATTTGCAACATTTAAATATTGATTTTAGCAATGACTTTATTCGATTTCTACATATGTTGTCAAATACATGGCTCTGAGTAATTTATAAAAAGTTATAGCCGTTGTTTATTGTTTATTACAAAGTTAGCAACAATTAAATATAATGACCAATATTGACCGATGCAACATAAGAAGATATATTACCATATGAATTACTAACTTTATATTAAAAAATAGGAAGAAAAGAATACAACTTCAAAATAAACTAACAATAAGTAGGATTATATGTATACTTTGTTAATGTTATATAAGTGTTAAATTATATGTTTAGATTTAGATAGTCATTGCAAAGTAAATGGATAGGCTCTGTCTTATCCCTTACACTTCCCTTGTAGATCACTAACGCCAATTAATCACTTATTTCGAGTACTTAAAATACTAATATACAGTAATTTAAGTACCCGAAATAAGTGATTAAGTACTCGAAATAAGTGATAAATTAGCGTTATTAGTGATAAATTTCTATAAAGGTTTCAAATAAAGAATATTAACCTAACCCAAATCTATTATAATTTTTCTAAGAGAATTTCTCAACGAACAGCAAACTTCGATTAAACTCACTTAATTAAGAATATACTGTAATTTATAAGGAAAATGCTTGGACTCAGAATGGCATCGGAGTTATAAAAATGCATTATTTAACGAATTATACATGAAGGTATATATTGCACAATTGTGCACACCTGATTATGTGTCACGCTTTTTTACTTAATGTTAAAAATGAAAATATAAGTCAAAATGAGCAAATACTAGCAAATAATAATGTCAAGTTGAACTCAAAATGGAAGCAATATAATTCACTATATGCGGTAGTTTGTATACGTTTACTAACTTAATTCTGATGAAAGTAGTAGTTTTCAATTTGAAATTAAAAATATTAGTAATTACTGACTGATTATTGAAAAGTAATTAATATAATTACTGACATTTTGAATTTCACATTATCAATTATTCTAGAAATTCATATACATTGCATGCAATCCATTATATACAATTCATATATATACATGAAGTCACTATTTACTACGTCCAATATTATTATTATAAGTTTGAGCGTAAATATATACTGCTATTTTTCGCTTTTATACCTACAACGCACGCACACATACGCAAGAATCGTGTAATACAAACTATATTATTATATTAGATTTTTAATCTAGATTTAGAAGATAACCGTGTTTTTTCGTGTACTTTAATTTCAGGAAACGTATTGTTTTTTCATACAAAGCGTACATTTATTTTATATAAAGCATACATATTATAATAAGTTTACAACTCGTCTGCAATTCGAGATACTATATTGATATCCCAGTTTGGTCGCTTACGATTGCTTAATTTTTAACCTCGAGATACTACTATATTGAGATAAAAATAGATAAGAAAAAACAATAATTTTGTAAATATTAATTATTTTTCGTTTTCCATATGAAATTGGAATTTTCTTGGATTTTTTTCACATTTGATGTATTACAATGGAGAAGCATTTTTAATTCCATTAAATTAATACGACGAAAAACTATAGAGTTACGAAAATAATAATTTTGTTAGTAATACAGACAGTTGAAAGATCCTCTTAATTGGAATCAAGTTTGGATTAAATTAGAATTTTTTTTGAGACGGAACCTATTTTATGGCTATAACAATGTATGTGTCAAGGTCAAGATTTGAAAATGGTTTTTTAAATCGATATTTACCTAATTTATTTTTCTTTAATTTTGTATATTTATAATGCAAGATCTATTCTGATAAAATTTTCTTATAGATTGCTGGAGCAGTAGTAACATATCTTGTTATGGTTATTCAATTGGATACCACAACAAAACTTACAAATTACAATGTAACTACTATGTGGAATTCTATTGAGAATAATTTTCCAACGACTATCGCATAACTGGTATAATTTTAAAGTTTCATGTTATTGTAAAACGTTTAAGTATATGCATTAATATTAGTTTCAATACAATTTCATACATTTGAATTTATCTAATCTAAATGATATAATCTAATATGTGAATATAAAAACACAAAGAAACAAATCTTTATATAATTTATTCGTTTTATTTTGTATTTTGAAACTGCATTTTATTTGTTTTATTATATTATTACTTATACATAATCAGAATTTCTTTCCCTTTCATTTTTCATCCTATGCTTCTCTTGAGAGATAAACATAGTTTTCATTAATATATATATATATATACAGGGTGACCCATTTTAACTTAGGCAGCCAAATAACTCGAAAAATAAGCATACTACAAAAAAATGTTTGCAATCAAAATTTCGTCATTTCAAGGGGGACGTACAATGACGTTAACATCAGCCTTCTCACCTCTCCCCCTGGGCGGTGAGGGGGGGCAAGTTTGAAATCTTAAATGGGAACCCCTATTTTTTATTGCATATTCGGAATCTTTGGCTAAAAACACATACAATTTGTCTGAAACATTTTTCTCGATTCATGATAGATGGCGCTGTAATCGACGAAATTCAATTTCTTTGATTTCTCTTACTGAGAACCCATGCTTACGATTCTGCAATACATTAACAATAAAAATACCACGTTTTCATTGTTAATACTCGAAATTAGTCTTAAAACAAACTTCTCATTATTTTTTATTACTCATTAATTACTTCTCAAGAAACTGCTTTTAGCGTAACCCAGGAACAACAACGTGGACGTAGCAATTTTCTATTCCCTTCGGGGTGCTTGATTAACGTGAGTCCCCTCGCCTCTCACAATTCGGGGTGCTTGAACGTGTGGTAACCCAGCCAGTGAAGGCAAGGTCGAGTGGTAACCCAACCAGTTAAGGCAAGGTCAAGTAGTGACCCAGCCAGTAAAGGCAAGATCGAGTGGTGACACAACCAGTTAAGGCAAGGTCAAGTAGTGACCCAGCCAGTAAAGGCAAGGTCGAGTGGTGACCCAACCAGTTAAGGCAAGGTCGAGTAGTGACCCAGCCAGTGAAGGCAAGGTCGAGTGGTGACACAACCAGTTAAGGCAAGGTCAAGTAGTGACCCAGCCAGTGAAGGCAAGGTCGAGTGGTGACACAACCAGTTAAGGCAAGGTCAAGTAGTGACCCAGTCAGTGAAGGCAAGGTCGTGTGGTGACCCAACCAGTTAAGGCAAGGTCGAGTGGTGACCCAACCAGTTAAGGCAAGATTGCATTGTTATCAGCTCTCTCCGCATGAAGGAGATGCTCAAAGTGTGCACCATTATTTTCTAAGAATAACAGTAATCGACAGTGAAAGTTACGTTGTACATTTTCTAGCATTAAAGGAGTTATAGCTTCACAAGCTCTTCTTATTCTTTCCATCATATTCAATCGTGTCGTTGGAGCTTCACTATACACTGCATCTTTAACGTATCCCCATAAAAAGAAATCAAAAGGGTTCAAATCCGGTGATCTCGGAGGCCACAGAACTGGTCCACCCCGCCCTATCCACCGATTTGGGAACCTATGATTCAAAAACATCCGTACAAGACGAGCATAATGAGCAGGAGCACCATCTTGTTGATACCATAAATTTAGTCTAACTGCAAGGGGAACATTCTCTAGGTATGCTGGCAAATCATTTTCGAGGAAGTCTAAATACATTGGACTATTAATTGGACGTTCAAAAAAATGAGGTCCAATAACTTGGCCATTGCAAATGCCTACCCATACATACAAACTCCAACGATGTTGATTAAGCACCTCACGATACCAATGTGGATTTTCTGGTGACCAATAGTGGCAATTATGCCTATTGAGACTACCATTGCTGATGAATGTTGCTTCATCACTGAAACAAATATTACTAAAAAAATCTGGATTCTGATCTAACATCTCAAGAGCCCATCTACAAAATTGTACTCTGAGTACGTAGTCGGCCTCACTTAATTCCTGTACCAGAGTAATATGATACGGATGGTAATTGACTGATCGTAACAATCTATGTGCCGTAGTTTGAGAGATTCCCAGTTCTCGTTCTATTTGACGGGTACTAATATGGGGATTTTGATGAACCATAGCCAAAACTGCGAGCAATCTAGGGTCATTATTATTATGAAGTCTATTCCTTCGCCTTTCGCGATGAAGTGGATTATTACGAGATCTTCTTTCAATGTTTATAATTTGTTGATCAGTAGGATGGCGGCGATTTGGGAATCGCTCCGCATAAGTACGGGCAGTAAGTCTGTAATTTCTACCATATTCACCAAAGGTTATAAGAATATCGACTACTTCTGTAGGAGTATAATTTGCCATTTTACCAGAATTTTATCAGAGTACAAATGTTAAAAAAATACATAAACACTTGTGACTTTGGCACTAAATGGAGTGCGCACTGAGTGTGCACTCGCCGCAGGTAATTGGGCGTTTCTTGTGCGGTACTTTGGACCATTCAAGTTGCCTACAGGGCAAGTTACGCTAAAAGCAATTTCTTGAGAAGTAATTAATGAGTAATATAAAATAATGAGAAGTTTGTTTTAAGACTAATTTCGAGTATTAACAATGAAAACGTGGTATTTTTATTGTTAATGTATTGCAGAATCGTAAGCATGGGTTCTCAGTAAGAGAAATCAAAGAAATTGAATTTTGTCGATTACAGCGCCATCTATCATGAATCGAGAAAAATGTTTCAGACAAATTGTATGTGTTTTTAGCCAAAGATTCCGAATATGCAATAAAAAATAGGGGTTCCCATTTAAGATTTCAAACTTGCCCCCCCTCGCCCAGGGGGAGAGGTGAGGAGGCTGATGTTAACGTCATTGTACGTCCCCCTTGAAATGACGAAATTTTGATTGCAAACATTTTTTTGTAGTGTGCTTATTTTTCGAGTTATTTGGCTGCCTAAGTTAAAATGGGTCACCCTGTATATATTGTTGCGCCTCTGGATCTGCATCCTCATCCCCTAAGACGTTTCCGGGAGATCGTCGTCAAGAGAGTTGTTGATAAACAACCTCCGACTTACTTTTGTTTATCGTCGCCATCTGTCAGTCTTGGTCTAGCTGTCAAGTCCGATTGACGTTACGAGACCGCAGACATAATTTTCATTAATATTTACAAAATACAATTTATCTTCTTTGTATTTTCCCTGGGTCGACCCATTAAAAACTTAACTTGTGTTCAAACGAGTCTTCATTTCATTTCGTGCGCGAGTGAGAGTGATTGTGTATGTGTGACCGCACGAGAGGCGTCCGGGAGGCGCAACATTTTGGGAACTCGTCCGGGATAGCCCACGACATTTCAAGGGACCAACGAGGAATAGCTGCGACATAATGGCAACGAGTCATTCTCCGAGAGCAACGCGATCTCGAGCGAAACGTCCTCCTGTCAACGAGACTTCCTCCGAGCCGGAAATGCTCCAAGCTGCGTTGCGAGAACTGCGGGAAATGCGTGCTGAGCGAGAGCAACAACAAGCTCACTTTGAAGCTCTTCTTCGAGAGAAGGACGACCAATTGCGAAAACTTGAACAGCGTATGTCACAGCAAAATTAGCTAAGTCTTTCTAATAATAGAGCTTCCGGGGACACACAAAATATAGAGGCAAAATAGGGCTTGTGCGATAACCGCGATTGAGTCGACCAACGATTTTCGCGCGAAAACGGGCTTTAAATTGAAGCCTGATACGTATGACGGAAAAGTTCTGCTGCGGGGATTTCTTTCCCAATTTCTTTTGATCGCGATGACAAATAATTGGGACGATAAGATGAAAACAATAACTCTCGCCGCGAATTTAAGGGGAAAAGCGCGAATTGTCTTAGAGAATATTGAGAATTTTGAAGATTTAGCTTTTGTGGAATTAAAATCAAAATTAGAGCTTCTATTTGGGGACGGAAATTTAACACAAAATTATTATTCTCTTTTCACTAATAGAAGACAGAAATTTGGGGAAGATTTCGCTTCGTTTGGGATTGAACTTGAAAAATTATCACGACTCGCGTATCCGGAATGTTCTTTCTTAGTTCGTGATAAAATGGCTTGCGCTCAATTTATTTCCAGTTTGACAGACGGGTTTATGAGGAGAACCTTTCAACTAAAAGGGATAACCTCTTTAAATTTAGCAATTGAAAGGGCAAAAGCTGTCAAAATCATTCAAGAGAAAAATTTTGAGAGAAAAAGGGAGAATTTTGGTAACTATGGGAGATTCAAAAATTCCGAAAAGCAAAATTTTCAAAAGGCGGAAAGGAATGACGCGCGAACTAACTCCGTAAAAAGGAAACGAAAATTCAAAAGACTCGGGAGAAAAAGCGCAGACAAATAATTTTTCCTCTAAGGAATGTTGGTCGTGTGGAAAGACCGGACATCTTCGTTTTCAATGCCCTGACGAAAAGAGAAATTAGAATTAGTTGAACTTTTCGGGGAAGATTCAACTTTCATTGACAGTACCCCGACTTTTGATTTTGTAGAATGTAGTGTTAGGAGAATTCTTCAAAAAGATTATTTCTCATATTTTGGGAAAGTGAATGGAAAAGGTTGTTTATTTAAAATAGATACGGGCTCTGATGTCTTAATAATAAATAGTAAATTAGTAAGAAAAGATCTTGAGAAGATTCCAGTCAAAAATATTAATTTGAAATATCCGACGGGAGAGAAAATTTTAATTGAATTTTTAGTAAAAGCAAAGATCGAAATTGGAAATTATTCTGTTGAAATATCATTGTTTATTGCAGAAATAAATGATCAATGTATACTTGGAATTGATTTTCTTAAAAAAATTAATTTGGACAGAGTTTTCAATAAAGCTTTTAATGAATCCGGATTTGAAAATAAAGATTTTAAATGTTTACGGATGGAAGATTTTTCAAAGACGGTCCCGTCAATTTTAAATGAACTTTTTGAAAAGAGCTCTATCCATTTACAAGAAATTCAAAAAGAAACTTTTATTGACTTTTTAAATGAATTTCAAGATCTATT